TGGCTGAGTGCTGCAGACACTGGGCAGGCCTCGGGCTGCTCTCTGTGAGGGAACAAAGAAAGGGTGTCAGGTTTTAAATAATTTAAAGTTGTAAGAAATACAGAGGGGCCTACTGAGGAGGTGGGAAGAAGGAGAGGCCAAGAAGCGACTGGAGTGGCAGGAGGGGGTGAATGGCAAAGGGTTTCATGACAGAAGTACAGCTGAGAGATATGAGACCAAATCTCTTATTTGACAAGCCAGGTCTAGCTCTTTGCGTATTGTTGACTTTCATTCTGTTGTCTTTCCTGCAGGAAGAAGAAAGAAAAGAATTGCGAAGGAAGACAAGAAGCAGACCATTCTGGGCACCCAGGTCTCCCACACTTGACTCATTGTTTGGCTAGTGTTGAAGTCCACAGGAGGCCCCAAGTGGTTTCTTAGCAGGATGGTGGCCTCCCAAGCCAACCAAGCCCTGCCACACCACTCTCTTCCCACCCAAATCCTGAAGGCTGCTTGTTATCACATTCACCTTCATTCAACATTCATCCCAAAATCGTTGCATGGTGTGTACACACAGAAAAGCATGGGCAGGTTTAAGCTCCTACAATAACATGGCAATGGACATTTCTCAGCCATGAACCATGATGAATGGCAAAGAAAAAATCCAAGCCTGGTTCGCTCCTGCCCCAGCAGGACCAGGGCACCGCTCAACAACTCAGTAGTATGTTCATGCTCACATACAGATTTAATGAGCCCGTTTTACTACAGGGATACGTGCCAGGAAAACCCAACTGTGTGCACAGGGGGTAAGGAAGGAAGGAAGAAGGTTGACTTGGGGGATGGGAAGAAGGCATCAGCAGAAAGTGAAGCATCTATGAAGCCATTTCCAATAACTCCATAAATCTAGTCACTTCCCACTTCTGCTCCAGTGGTTGGCCACGTGACCTAAAAGTGGGCTGACCTCTCTGAAATCAACACCTCCCATAGAAATGAAACAGACGTACTTGTTTTGATGTATGGCTGGGTGACACATTATAAATATTACATCACATAACCACAGAGGATGCCAATCAATAAGAAATTTTTTCAGACAGCACTAAATGAGCCATGGGTTCTTGCTTCTGAATACACTCCTTTAAGGCTCCTACTATTGCTTAAATGATTAATAGAAGACATATTGTCAGAAAATGTACTTAAAGTGAAAAACAGTAAACTGTAGAAATAGCATTCATTTTTTAAGCAATTTTCTAGTGAAAACGTCACATAAATTTACATAGAGGCCCTACTATCAGGCTCCGGGTAACAGCTAGGAGGAAGGCAGACCTCATGCTTTGTGGATGGAGGGCCAGGAAAATATTTTACCAAAAGGAAAAAAAAAGAAGGTGGCTGCATTGCTTTGTAGAAACCCAAACACTAGAACTCTGGATTCAAAAGTCTTATTGTAAAACCGTAAAATTTCTTACGGGCAAACGAAGCACAAACTCCAAGATGAACAAAGCAGAGCTGCTTACAGACCAGAGAACAGAACTACATTATAGATACATTTATCTCATTCAAATATAAGGGTGAGAGTGCCCATCAAAAAGAAATAAAAAATAAAAAATAAAACAAATAAAAAATTTAGAATTGCTAGAGAATAGGCTACCATTCCACTCAACCGTCATAAGCCGTGCAGTGAACGTGTAACTGGATGGGCACACATTTAATGTTCCTTCCAGTGTTCTTAGTTCTTATTTCTCTCAGAGCATGAGCATCTTCCCATTGTTGTGGGTGACTTATGGATTTTCTAGGGTAATTTTGACTAGATGTGATTTCAGCTGTGTGTGGCCCTTAGGATCCAGCTCCTCACGGCAGCTTTGCCATATGTGCATGAACAAACAACCTTCCCAGGCCTATCCCTCAACCCCAACAGATCTGGAGTAGTGAGGTCAGGCTTAGTGGGCACCAGCACCAGCCCATGAGATAAATCACTCCTCTAGAACCAAACCCTCCCTGAAGGATCAGGACCCAATGACCAGCACTTGGATTGAGTCTGAAGGATAGTCCCTTGCTTGTTAACCGTGTTTGTGGACATCAAATGGATTGGATTCCAAATAGAAAGTGGGCATCTGAGATGCCCAGAGGGCCATACATCTCTCTCTAAGCACTCAGCTTCTCAGAAGAAAGCAATTTTCAAGCTGCCTTCAGTGAACACTTATCTGACCCCTATTCCAAGGCCACTGTCACTTTAGATATTGAAGAGTCTTCAAAGAGCAAGAAGACACAGCCTTACCTACTGGAAGCCATTCTCTGGATATCGACATATATAAAGTAGTGAGAGAGATATACAAGATGGAGTACATAAAATGGCACGAGATAGTAAAGGAAGAACTGTAACAGCGTGGAAGCAGAGTATCTCAGAATGCTACAGCCAACAGAAATTTTCAACACTACTTAGTCCAATAGTCAAGTGAGCATCCAAATTACCTACTGACTTTTTTGTTGCATTTGCCACTAAGTTAATCAAAATGCTTCGGATGATTCAGAAGTTCAGCCTTGGTGAAGGGTCACTGATCCAGACTATCCTCCCCATTTTAAAGCTGGGCCCCACCTCAGATCTCCTGATGGGTCTTAGTATTTTTACTGATGTGAACAGTTATAATAGCAAAAAAAGATAGTATTAGCTTTTTTCCTTTTGCAACCTTATAAGTCTTCTATTTGAGACTGAATAAAATATGATGCAATTGAAGATTTTCATCATTCCACTTCTCTCATTCTAGGAAAACAAAGACAACAAAAATGTGCCTACAGTTTGGCTTACATACAGCTCCACGAATGAATGAATGAACATATGTGTCAATGTGTGTGTAAACACACACATACATAAAAACACATATATATATAGGACATGGGCAGGCATATACATACATACATAAAATTTATTGAGCTATTTTAAAGAATTAAACACATGGGGCGCCTGGGTGGTTCAGTCAGTTAAGTGTCCGACTCTTGATTTCAGCTCAGGTCGTGATATCAGGGTCAAGGGATCAAGCCTTGCGTCAGGCTCCCCACTAAGTGGGGAGTCTGCTTGAGATTCTCTCTCTCCCTCTCTCTCTGCCCCTCTCCCTGCTTGTGTGTGCTCTCTCTGTTAAAATAAATAACTCTTTTTTAAAAAGAATTAAACACAGAAATCTTAAGAAAAAAGTCAGAAAACAAATCAGGATTTCCTAAATCGCGCTTGGCTTACTAAAAATGTTGACTGAAAGAACTTTCTTGGACTTGTTTGACAGTTTCAAGACACATCTTGTAAATTGCTGCAAGAAGATAAAATATGTTTTAAGAGACCCCTTCATATCGGAAATCAGGCTGTTAAATGCTTCAGAGTTGATAAGAGTGTTAAAGAAGCAAATTAAGTTCTAAGTGATTAAGCAACTTACAGGGTTGATTTAGAAATGTGTAATTCTTCACCTGCTGGATATTAATCATATTTCTCCTAACAGAATTGACATTCAAACCTACAGGATCACATCCAAATGAAAATCTTCATACTGGAGAAAGACTTACTACATTTTTCTAAAAGTAGGGTTAGAGTTTTATTCTAAGATGGTTTAAAAATAGTCTCAGACCACTACAACATTAACCAAGAAATCTAGAAAATGAGGTTAAAGGTACACAATGCTTCCCAAGAAGGAAACATAACAGAATTCCTGATGTAGCTTTATGTGTCTATGCGTATGTATTTTAAAAAGATACAATGTTCAATAGCCTTCAGTACTTCTAACAGCTTTGCTTTTATACAACATGAACTCTCCTGACTTCATTCCTCCATGGGTCACCACAAATTTTCACAGGAGTCCCAAGAGAACCAGTTTCTTTCAAACAATTATCTTCTTTCCCCAATCCTTCCAAATTTATTGTCCAGTGGCCTTACCTGCCTTACATTTCCACCCTTCTTTCCTCTCCCCTTCCCACACTGATTCAGGTAGGATATTAATGAGAGCTTATATCAGAAGGAAGAGAGAGGTTACGCCCCTGAAAAGATCACCTAAAAATATATGCAAAACAAAAATCAAGAATGAGGGCACACAGAATTCAAAATGAAGAAAGAAAATATAAAATGAGTTTAGTAAAATGGGTAAGATGAAGGAGACTCCCTAAGAGAGGTGAGTTTGGGTCAGATATTTCAAAGCAGATGGTTTAGTAGCAGAGAAGGGGAAGAAAAGCATTTCTCCTTAGAGCCCATCAAAGCATGCGGGTGGTGGACAGCGAGGCATAGCTTTAGGGAACAAAGTTACAGACCTTCAGGGACTTCCTCTCGGGATCCTACATAAGCTCCCTAACTTTAGTGGGAAGTGCTCTCTAAAAGGCAACTCTGAGGCTGACCACAGGAGAATCTTACAACACAGAGTAGGGATAAACAAAATATAGGCCATGGGTCAAATGTGGCCTGCTCCTTGTTTTTGTAAGTAAAGTTTTACTGAACCACAGCTGGGGCGCCCGGGTGGCTCAGTTGGTTAAGCGTCTGCCTTCAGCTCAGGTCATGATATCAGGGTCCTGGGATCGAGCCCCACGTCGGGCTCTCTGCACAACAGGGAGTCTGCTTCTCTCTCTGCCTGCCCCTCAGCCGGCTCTCTCTCTCTCTCTCTCTCTGTCAAATAAATAAATAAAATCTTTAAAAAAACAAACATAGCCATGCTTATTCATTTACAAATTGTTTATGGCTACTTCTGCACTGTAACAGCAGAGTTGAATGTGACATAGACCAGATGACCTTCAAAGCCTGAAAATATTGATTACCAAGCTGTTTACAAAAAAAGTTGGTCAATCCCTGCCCTAGACCGCCTAGCAGCTTTTCATGTTTCTTGGTTCCTGTAACCTTGATGAAGGGAAACCATGGCTATCGGTTACCAAAAAGTTAAAGTTTAGTATTATCACGGGAAGTCCACTGATACTTACCAAACACCTACTATGCATCCCATAATATCATCCCCCCAAAAGATGTTCTTTTTCCCTTTCCCACCGCGTTCCAACCCCTCAGTACTCACCTGTATCTCTTGTAGTCTTCCTCATCCTTTTCTAAGCTGACCAGCTCGTTGGGACAGGCCACATTACCCAGCAGGCTGAGGTACTCCAAAGCTGGTGTCACTTCTGCCAGGTGATCAAGAAGACACTCCAAGTCAGTGATGTGACAAAGGTTAAGGATTTGGGTCCAGGGAGACAAAAGGCCTTGTAAGGAACATAGACTGTAACTGGCAGGCACAGCACAACACCTGACAAGTCCAGTCTGCTCCCAGGAGGTGACATGCGGGAGGGTTGAAATCCACTTAGCTGTGAGGTATCTGGCATGGCTAGTTTTTCACTCCTGCTGGGGACACAGCCCAACTCTTCTCTGGGCAGGTAAGACTGAATCCAAATCACTTGAGAGAGAATGAACTTAAGTGTTTGTCACACTTTTTTTTTTTCCTATATGGTTCTTTCCATGGGGTATTTGTAAATCCATAAAACTGGTTTGTTTTTTTTTTTAGTTATGAAAGCAAGAAATTATTTACAATGCCCTCATTAAAAAATAGATTCCCCTCTTCTCCTTTAGGAGGTAATTTATCATTAAAACATACAGGAATGGCATGGATGCAAGCAGGGATTGGCATCCTGTTATGATCTAAGGACCTGGGGTGGAGCTAAGCATTGCTCAGTAGCCTCACTGGTGACAATAAAGTACTGAATTAGGGGAAAAGGAAAACAAAGCTAGGAGAAGACAAATGGAGTAAGTTATTTAGTCAAGCCAGGCAGGTCAAAATATATTTGGGGATGAGAATCTGTTGTGAAACTAATATTCTATGAAGGAGAGAATGAAAGAGAAAATTCCAAGGAAGGGCATGGTGGGGAGATTATGCCATGATTCATTCCCTCAGTGGGATCCACTGGTCGATGTTTGCCTTCAAACATTGAGACCCCCCCCCAAACCAAATAAGTCAAGAATCATAGATTCAGTTATAGGTATTGATAAGGACTTAATGACAACCTAGCTGTCACATCAATACATATGGACTCCTGGCTTGAGCTACATGCAGAAGAACTAAGCCCTAGGCAAGGTGATGACTAGACAGACCATGAGCGGAGGCCATGACTACCAGAAACTTATGGAAGAGAGGTGTCAGCCAATATCAGCAGATGGAATTGGATCTTTGCCAGGGAGTAACAGCAGAGCAAAAAGGGGCTAAGCATATAAGAGTGAATGCTGCATATAAGAGTCAAACACTCGGAATACAGTGTTTGCTTTATTGTTTAGGAGTGAGGTCTACTTGGCTTAGGAGAGGAAGGTAAAACCAAAGAAAAGGCATGCCCTTACTCTATCAGGATGTTATCTAACCATGGTATGTTACCCCCATTTCCTTACATTTCATTTTAACTTGTCAGTTGAACACCAAATCCAAACAATGTCAGAATCCATTCCCTAATGTATGTGCTTAGGGGTCACCAAAAAGTAGCTCATTCTATCACAGACAACCACAAGAAAGAGACTTTCCCCTGGGACTGAGCTTTCCACAAATTCCTTCCCACTGACCCAGTTTAACAGCTTGGGGTCTCAAAGAATAAGGCATTCTTCTCTTCCACATGACGACCCTTCAGATAGATGAAACTCACACGTCTTCCTTAAATCTTATATTCTCCAAACTAAGTTCTGTTGAGCCTTCTTTATAAACAGGCTCTGAGAACATCCTATGCGAGAACAAGCGCTATCCTGTGGGAGTGAGACAGAGACAAGGAGAGGGACAGCGTCAGCAAAAGAGGGAAACAGCAGTGCAAGGGGATCAGAGCTGCTCATCCACCAAGGGCTTCAATTTGCCAACACCTTTCCCATTTCCTAAACAAGGCCGGACAACGGACATGGAAGTTATCAGTCCTCCAGATCTTGAACAAATAACATCCAGGAATAACCACAGTGGACCACTGGAGCGAGGAGGCTAGAAACAGGAGGACATGGAGAAGACAGGAGAGAAGGTGCTACCGGGCTGGGAAGGTTGGAAGGACACATGGGTGAGAGGCCAGGAGTCAAAACAATAAAGCATTTCATCACCAAAGGCAAAACATACTTACTACTGTTTAAAATACAGTTCAATCATCAAACTCTTTAAGAAAATCATTTAAATAAAACCAATTAAAATGAAAATGAACAATTTCAGGGAAAACTTGGCTTTTCCAGCAGGTTCTAACTCTGTATGCTTCTCAGTCATTGCTACGTTAGAAAAAGGGTGGCTGTTAGCGCTGCCCTTAGACTTTGGCAAAGGCACCTCATGGGGCCCTATGCTTTGGAGTGACTTCCTCAAAATGTCTTAAGTCTCTGTCTGGTATCCAGGAATCACCAGGGACCAAAGTGTCATTCAACTGGGGAACCCCATGCCTGGACTTGGACCTGCATCGGGCCTCAGTCCCAGTCCTGGTTTCTCCCCTTCAGGGTTTGCTCCAAACCTCCACCCCTCACAGGGGATCCATCAGATGTTCCAAGGAGCAGCAGGACTCATGCCTATCAGGCTGTCCAGGCCCTAGTGCCCGGGGGGCAGCCAGACAAGCTGATCACTCCCACTGGCTGGCACAGTGTTTCTTCCAAGGGACTGTGAGACAGTGGGCTGCCAAAATGGTGCTGACGTATTGACCTGGGGTGATTCAAATTATTTATGTAGACAATGGCCCTAGAGAACCTAGGGGAAGCCCTTTCTACTGTGGATGAAGAAGTCCAACCAAAACCTACTGCTCTTGTAGGGACAAACTCCTTAAACTTTGGTTATTTTTCATCTACTGTATGAAGGTGGGAATGTGAAGGAATGGAACTCAAAACTGGCAAGATTTTTAAGTTGAGGAAATCCGGGGCAACTGAGCTGGATTGAAATCCCAGTTATTTCTCAACATTAAATGAGCAGTGATGGGCAACATCACATGCCACTGTCCAGGGAAGCAGGCTTCATATGTAAACTTATCAGGGAGCTAATAAACCTCATGTGTGAGGGCTCCTTGCTTACACAGGGCCCTTGCAGGGATAATACAGTCACAGGGTCATATGTTTTTGTAAACTTTGCAAAGGTAGGTTAAACTGCCGTCAGTTAAGATCACTGTCTCTCTCCACTAAAGTGTGTGTGTGTGTGCATAGTGTATAATTTATATAATTACATAATAAAGTTATAAAAGAATTGGCAGAAAAACAGGAAAAATATTTTTATATAAGCATGTCCAGTATAAAAAAAATTGTTACTTTTCCAAATATTTTTATATTTGTGTTGTCAACTCCAAATAAATTCCAAATAAACATTCATCTTCAAGTCTACTTTTGCATTCATAATAAAGTAGTCTTTGCCTTTAGGAGGGTATCCCCAAATTATGTAAGTTTCATACTCAACAAAATCTGGATCTGCCCCTGAGCTGGAGGTTGTGGAAATGTGGACTCATCCAAATGTCTTGGTGATGGAAGTTTCCTGGGCAAAAGGTCTATAGTCCTCAAGAAGCTTCAGCCATCATGTGTCAATGAACTCAAGGAAAGGAGCCTGCCTCTTTTAGGGTATTTTGAGTGGCAGAAGCTACCCCCCTTCTTCAGGTCTTTCAAGTACCTGCTAAAAGATCACCTGGACTAAGTTAAGTGGTCTCCCCCAAATCCACACTAGTCAGAAATCACTAGCCCCTACTCCGTGGATGCTCTGGACCAGAACTTCATCACTACGTTGATACCACCACCAGAGGATAAAAGACAGGAAGGAGTTTTAATTGGTTTCTTGGTCTCCTGGGTCAGCAAGGACAAACACAGCCCTGCCTTGCCTGGTTGGGAGCTCTAAGATAGAATTTGTCGCATTCTTGCATAGAAAATGAAACAGAGGCAATCAGCAGCAGGAACTTGGTGTCCCTGACTCACAAAGACCCGGGCAGTAGAGATACTTTCAGGGATGCTCCTAAAGGTGACATTTTCCCCTCCATTTCTAAAATGCGAAGCTATCTGGCACAGTTTCAACTTTCTTCAGCTGGATTCTAGCATATACCCGGCTTCCCTCATCAAGTCTTCTCTAGAGTACTTAACATTTATATTTTTTCTCAGTGTTGTCTCCAGAAAGTTGCCATTGCTGAGTCCAGATGTCACAGGTTCACTTGCCAAGGGAGACTTTTTGCAGAGGGCCCAAGATCAAAGCAACATCTTGCCTTGAAAGTCTGGAGCATGAAGGAGGAGGGGAGTCTTCTGGTGTCAGGTCCAGTTGCACAGGTCTGAAGCTGTTTCCCAGGTGAAAATGGGCATGAACCCTCCCTCTGTGCTCAGGTCCGGGTCAAATGGCAGCCCGCATACCACCTGGGAGGGTTTCAACCAGTGCTTATCCTAATATGGGATTTCTGAATACTAACTACACATTCTGCACAATATATTCTCATTTTGATTCACAGACACATCAGAAATATCACATCCAAACAATAATTTAGGAAATGGCGGTCAAAAGTCACTTAGTCAGTAAATGGAAGAATCTAGATTCAATCTGAGGTTCTAAAGAAATTGCATTTCTAGGAGACAAGTGACTCATGATTTCCTAACACAAAAAGGAATTTAAAATACTGAAATATGAGGAGTCCTATATGCTTCTGTGGGAGACCATAGGTACTATCACCCAGCTGTGTTCTATACTCAGTTACTTCCAATTTGGGCTTATTCATTTAAAGCAATGAGACTTCTGCTTGCAGTAAAATGTACCAAGAAGTTGTAAAGGCTTTGGGTATTAACAAAGTTACGTCCCATATATACATTATGCCATTTAAATCTGTCAACAATACTCTTAAGTGTCTATCACCCATTTTACAGATAAAGAAACTGAGGCCTCAGACAAGGCACAGAGAATTGCCTGAGTAAAACATTAAATTGCTGTGGGAAATCTAGTGTGGCCTTAAGCTCAGCTCACTGGTCTCCTCACCACAGCCCAGCTGCACAACACGTCACACTATCCATTCTTCCTGTTGGTATGACAACACATACTGTCTCTTCATATATGTGCTGAAGCAAACAGGTAGACAGGAGAGAATGAAGGAATTAAGTGTGTTGTAAAATGAAGTCAGCTTCTCACCTTTCCCCCACCCACCCGGAAAGGGAGAATGGGGGAGAATCATTTGATTGTGCAAAGTATCTATATTTTCCTGACATCTCAGGTATTCTGTTATTTGGGG